GTAGGCTCTAAGTGGTTGCTTAGCAGCTGTACAGACAGGTGCTAGGGAAATGGATGATATGTATATCTGTTCAGGGGCGTAGTAGAAACCTTAAGCTCCACTTAAACCTTCTATTACTTAAGTGGGACTTACATGGTGCATATGCCTTATATTAGTGCTTTGCCAGAGTTGAGTGTCACCCGTACATCACACTTAGACAGATGAGGGGTATAGGTTGTAGCCATACTGGTCTAAGGACATAGGCAGACAAGGTTCTTTGGGTAAATTTGATGTATTTTATTAGACCAACTCAAATAGTTGGATAAATTCTTCTTTGCAAGGTTTCAGGTATTAATACCCTTCGTCTGCTGAGGAAGCATCTGTAGTTGGTGTGCGCTCTTCCTGGATGGAATGAATAGTAAAGAAGCCGGAGGCTGCTATACATGCAAGAAAGCTTTCTTCAGGTTTTAATATGCATGAATGAAACATTGTAATTTTGTTTTGAAATTATGTTTAAGTTCAAAATTTAGATTGGGTTTACTAAAAGAAAATTCATAAAGCTTTTTTGCATGCATACCAGCCTCTGGCTTTTTTACTATTCATTCCATCCAGGAAGGGCACACACCAACTGCAGATGCCTTTTCAGCCTGAGGAAGGGTAGTTCTACCTGAAAGATTGGAAAGAAGAATTTTTCCAACTATTTGAATTGGTCTAATAAAAGATTTCCCAAAGAACCTTGTCTGCCTTAGACAAATTAGTGAACCAATATGGTCCTACTAAAGGGAATAATAAGGAGTGAGGGGAAATGGGCAAGAAGGGGGTAGAGGTGAGGTATGGCCAGGAGTTATTTATCAATCTCTACTCAAAGGATACAAACAATATGCCTAGTGACGACTTTAGCACTTTCAGTTACTCATACTGCCAGTCAATAATAGAAGCTTATTCAAGACAGCTTAAGAGCTGCTGTCAAGAGGGAGGACAGATACAAATATAGAAAGGGGCCAAGGGGTTATGCAAAAACAGTATCTCTCCTCAAACAACTAGTCAGTGCCTTTGAGCCTCTAGAGCATTGATTCTCAACCCTTTCAGGTTTGAGGGACTCCTCAGTATACTCAGGGCAGCCCTCTGAAAATGCTAGTTTTCACACTTTGACTACAGAAAAAATAATAGAGCAGTTCTGTTGCAAAGAACTCAGAAAGACCCCATATCACGGAATCAACACTGCTTTTAAGGGAAAGCTCTGCCTCAGGACTTCTCAGAAACAAGCCTTGTTTAGTCTTCCTTAACACTCTGGATTCTTATTTGAAATCTCTGGGTTTATCCTACGAATCATGTTTGCACACCTAACAGTACTAACATTGCACAGATAGACAAGGTTCTTTGGGTAGATGTGATATATTTTATTAGATAGACTAAAAAGTTTGAAAAAATGTTCTTTGCAAGCTTTTGGGCACAAACACCCTTCTTTAGGCATTGGGAGAGTCTGGTGTTGTTTTGTGTGCTCTCCTGGGTTGAATGGAAGCCACTATGCAAAATGCAGGTCTGTGAAAATGCAAATACGTGGCAGTGAGGTTCAGAGGGAATGGGAGACAATAGGTATGAGACAGGTAGGTGAGGGGGAAAGAGGAATGCTGAACTGGTGATAGAATATAGGTGGTAAAATGCAGACAGGTTACCTGGGATTATCAGATGTAAGGCAGGTTATAATGTGCCATAAATCCAAAGTCTCTATTTAGTTCATGATTTTTCATACCCAGTAGGTTAATGAAGTGAAGTTCATAGGTTTGTCTATGAAAGGTGTTTTGTAAATTCCCTTTGAGGATTAGAACTGAGAGATTGGAGAGAGTGGTTGTCTTGTGCGAAGTGTGCACTGACAGGTAATTGAGTATTTTTGTCCTTGATAGATTTTAGGTGTGTATGCCTGAAGAAGGGTGTTTTGTGCCCAAAAGCTTGCAAAGAACAATTTTTCCAACTATTTAATTGGTCTAATAAAAGATATCACATCTACCCAAAGAACCTTGTCAGTCTTTGTCCTTAGAGCAACGTAGCTATAACCAACAACCCTAACATTGAATGACACTCCATAGCACTCGTGAAGGGATCACAAGGCACCTGGCTGAGAGTCACTGATGTAGAAATCTTCTGCTAGCCTCTTCTTAACTAGAGTATCCCTTTTCCTAACATCACTTCACCTTGACTGTGAATAAAAAACTAATTAGCAAAACCACCCTGCAGCCTCAAAACCCCTCACCTGCCCTCCTCACCCCTGCAGCACTGATCCTTTGGAGGGGCTAACTTTCAAAGCTTTCTCACTTATTGATTTAATCTGTATTGTTTTTATTTTTATTTTTTTTACAGAAAGGATTGAGCACCCAACATTGCTTAGAAGCATGACATAGTATCTTCTTTTGGTTTTCAGAAGCAGGGAATCTCACACAAGAATGTTTATTTTATTTATATTCTTAATACGTGTAGAGGCCAACTTCCATATGACATGGACAATTAGAATGAAAGCAACCAACCAAAGATCTGGTAAAAGATCATGATGTGATTCACTGCACCCTGAAATAAGGTAATCTGATGAAAGAGTTACAGACTCCTGAAAACAAAAGACTAAAATAGGAAGATAGACAGATTCTTTAATTTTAGTTACCGAAGTGGGATGAAATTAGACTCTGGGTCAGGGGATATATATATATCAACCAGCAGTCCTTTCAGGTACACTACAATCAGTATTATGATTTAATATTTATATTATGTTACTGTATAGGTACCTCTGTCAGGACTCAGGCCTCTTGTTTTGGGCACTGTATGAATATAGCTGTCCTGCAGATTTCCTACCACACCTCACCACTCTCCTAGAAATTCTGCAAATTTAAATATTCAGGAATGGTGAATGAAAGTACCATGCATAAATTGCATGACAGGTTCATTCTTTGGATTCATTCTATGGGAGTGCTGATGAACAGGATGCTCCAGCAAATGTGCTTTTATAAGCCTGTTGTAACAGAAGAGCCTGTTGCTTAGCATCAAGGTGTTAATGGAAGTTTTGTGCATGTTAGAAACTTAAAGAGAAAACAGAAGTAGCAAATAATCTACAATGTATAAATTAAGCACTGCCAATGAAATATAATCTGGGTAGTATCCTAACTGTGGTCCTTTTGCTATAGGCATTCTTACCAGAAGAAAAAAAAATTGAAAACAGGGTAAGAGCATTTATATACTCACACATGCACACTTTTGCATATTGTGTACTAATTTAAACCTGGGCAGAATGCATATTAGATGTAAAACAGTACCACAATCAGACTGGCAGCACTTTACACCCACTCTGTATAAGCGCACCCACAGCAGAAACAGAATCCATTTTTTACTCTACTTGGAGCCACTGAAACCCTCTGAACAACTTTTTAAAGTTCTTACAGCACAATTTAAAAAAAAAATCAGTTTACAGTACTTGACTATCAGCCATTTTAAATGAGGTCCCATTATATTCAGGATAGATTTATAAAGGATTTACAGATATTACATGCATGCTATAGACCTGAGCAGTGCATGTTAGAATAGGTTCCACAAATTTATTATCTTCCCCATATTTTTCATTTTCATGACTGAACTAAAAAAATCAGTTACTCAAAGAGCCCAAGCTTATGCTATATATCTTCAATTTAGTTAGTCTATAAAGGTGCAAATTTACCTTGTTTTTTGCCTGACTTCAGACTGATACCGTTAACTACCTGTCTCTAAAACCCAGTAGTTATAGGCAACATGTCATTAATTAAACCTTATAAACTATTTATAAATGTATCCTAAATATAAAGCTTGACCAAATACGCCACAAAGGCATTTTCTGAGCACCCTTTCAGGGGTCACTTGTCAGATGAGTGAAGCAGGTCAGATAAAATTAAAAAAACCCAAATACTTTAAACAAACTCAAGCCTTTTATATAATTACAAATTTTCTGCTAAGAAGGTCTTCACTGAGACCAATCCCAGGAGATGAAAAAATAAATAAAATGGATGCTGTCTTTCTTCTGCAACTACTCAGAAAGATTACTTTCCCAGCAAATCATCCATGTCTCCAGTGTGAGGTCCAGCAGTTTCTCTGATATATCTGGACTGAATTAAAAAGCTGAGGTTTCTAAAATCCACATAGGGGCATAGAAATACAATCTAGCTACAGTAGCACCAAATGTGTGCTCTCAGAGCTCCTAGACTTGTGCAGCCAGCTGTTGCAGAGAAGGCACAGGAACAGAGGAAGCTAGGACTGAAAGGCGCTGCCTGAATCATCCAGTTTTTAGGTAACCATATACCCAAAGGCACCTAAAACTGCCACTTCAAACCTTCACACAGACTACAAGGCACAAAACCAAACACCAAGGACACCCTATAACATGCCACAGGTAAAAGTAGGGGAGACAATGTCAATGCCACACCACTGAAATGACAGATAAGTACCTGGCCAATTTATGCTCAGAAGATGACTCACACCCCACACTACAGAGGACATAAAAAAACTTCCCACAAACATTGCCAATCAGACCCAGGGCAAAACAATCCTGTTGATTGTAATCTCTCTTCCTATACCACGTCTTCCAAAGTGTTTGTGTTGAATATCAGTGTGTGGAAGGGTGGGGATTGCTGTCAGGAGAAAGCCATAGGATCATCAGAGGAAAGGAGAGAGGAGAGGAAAATCTAAATTCTGATTGGTAAAAAGGATATTCAGTTCAGAATATAGTGCTTTTGTAGAGGGAGTTAGAGGGTTGCTAAAGGGAAGAGCAGTATTGTAGACAAGAAACTAGGAGCTGGGATGATTGCACAGAGGTGGTATTTGCCTCATCCCCATCTTTTTACCCAATGCCATGAAGAAGGCACTTTGTGAAGTGTTTATTAGATTTGAATAGCTACTTCATGATGTGCTGGAGGCTGGCAATAATAAACTGCAACTAAGTGCTGGTGAGCTGGAAGCAGCCCATCTGCACTATGCTGGCATCTCATCTTTTCCAACAGCCAGGTTCTTGCCTGCAAACGGGTCCTGTAGGCAGCTCGTGAGGACTGGTCCTTCTGCTTGCCTGCATATTGGGTCCTGTAGGCAGGTCCTTCTGCCTGCCTGCAGACGGGGTCCTGGGGGCAGCACATGTTGTTTGCCTGTGGGAAATAGTCTGTTTTTTTAAAAAAAAAATAACTAGAAAGAACAATTTTTTCTTTGCAGCTGTGCCTTGGCCTTGGGGAGTAGGGTTGGGTTTTAAGCTTTCCACAGCTAACCATCCATTAAAGTAAAAAGGAAGGTAGGATCAGTAGTTTTTATTAGACTGGCCAAAGAAAGAACAGTCATGAAACTTTGTTCCTCCATACTGGAGACTTGTGGGATTTGTCTGATTTTCAGAATTTAGGTTTTTTGATTCTGTGTATGGTTTAAATTACTGCATGACTACACTGCGTCGCCCTTACTCAGCAATTAGACCGCACCCAGCTCTATTGGCATCGCTGGGATTACTCACCTGTGGAAGAGCTTAGTAAGGGCTGCACAATATAATTGTGCAACACAATGGTTTCATTAAATAACAAATACAAAATTAACTAGAAAACAGCAGAAAGCAATAAAAGATAAAAAGAACTGAGTATATGAGATTGATGGCAAAACCATGAAAAATTTAGAACAACATTTTACCAGCCGACTGCAATTTCTGCTTAAAGAAATTAGTTACAAAAAGGAATCACCAACCCCCTTCAAAAATGTGAGAACTTTCACTCCCCCTCCCCGCCTTGAACACGTGAAAGATCAGCACTCAGTCTTTTCCAACAGGGGCGGTCATGAATCCTGATATTCTTATTTCTATTTTGAATCTTGTCTCTATGGAATTTATGTTAAATGATGCTACATTGTTTTGAATCAATACTTGAAGATGTTGCACCACAAGCAGCATGATCATGCACTGATGTAATGTCAGGACAGTAAAATTCGAATGTGCTAACATGCACACATTAGAATTTCTGAGGGAAAAGGAGACTGTGGGAAGTGACACTAAATGTGGATGTTCTAGTCTACAATTTCCATGGAGGTGTGAATAGCAGATTGTCATCCCCCAGGATAACTTTTATGTTGTTTGTTCTTACGGTGAGTTCCATGTCCTCCTCTTCCTTTTCTTTCACTGGTTTCTCTGGTTCTTCTGGCTCCTTCTCTTGTAGATGGATCTCATTGGCTTGAGTCATGTAAGGCATGTCATCTTTGTTCTTGAACTCCAAGCTGAGAATTGAAGGAGGAAGTAGAATTCCTAGAATTACCTAAAGCAATAATAATGATAATAATAATCATCACAGTAAACAGGTTATGAGCATGGTGGTTTCTTAATATTAAATGGAACAATTCCTTTGGGAAGCATATATTCCCAATGGACATCCCAGAGATCCAATGGACTGGGACATCTGCCATTTGGGATTATGATTTGAAAAAACTGTGGGGAAACAAAGGCCAGCTCTCTTATGGATAACTGTTGGGGCTAAATAATTTATTTGTTCCTAAATTGTTTGCCAGATGTGTATTATTGCAAGCTGGGAAACTTTGCAAAATATTTTCTACAATATAATGTTGGTGAAACCATGAAGCCTTTACATCTTGATTCTGTAAATCCCCTCAAGTTGCATGGCAGATAGTTCCAATATAAAAGTCATAAGATTATTTTTTTGCAGTTATTATTCATAAGACTCTAGCCACCTGTGCTCTCTGACTTGCCAGTTCAGAGTACAAAATGGAAAAGGGCACAGGCTTAAGTGCATCTGAGGAGACAGAGGCTTGGGGCAAAATTCTGCTTCACTGCTAAGATGTGTAAGTGCCTCTTATTCAGATCTTTAGGGTATAAATCATGAAATGATGTTTTACTTCACTCACCTACTGGCCTGAATTGCACTAAGACAACTAACTTGTTTAGACAGCTGTATTTTTGCCCTATATAATTAAATTTGTCCTACTGTGCATAAATACGGGGCTGGGTTGGAGTGGGCAATAAGGTGCACAGTTGATAGCCTTGAGGTTGCAAGTTTGAGGCTATGGCAGGAGTGCCCATGGCAAGGCCCTGTCAGATTCAGTATGACAATGAAGGCAACCAGCTCCATGACACTCTGTTGCTATGAAGACATAGAAACATCTGATACAGCTCCAAAACTTGCTACTAGTGACTACTTCACACTTTTCACAGAAGGGTGGTGTTTATGATGACAGTGGTGCTCACCTTTCTACCCAGCAGCCTAGTGGTTAAGGCACTTGCCCAGGATGTGAGAGATCCAGGTCCTAGGCCTTCCTATCCCAGAGGGAATTTCATTCCTGATTTCCTATAACACATACAAGCTACCTGGCTACACATGCTGGGAAAACTGCATTGGATGAGTCTCCCCTTGGTGTTCCACCTACTTTAAACTTCCTCCCAGTAGGGGTGCAGTATATGCCTACACCATACTAGTTTGAAAGTCTTCTAGTAGGAATCCTCATTACAGTACTTTTTCACATAAAAAGTGTCTATTGGAAACATGATCCAGAATCATCAATAGGAAGGTGTGTGTGCTGGTGTTTGGAGAGAGGAAAAGAAAACCTGGCAGGTTGTTATAGCAGGTGTAAAGTCTCTGCCCTTACTTTCAAAAGAATAAAGCCCACATGTACAAAGTCCGCATTTTACAGCTCTTTGTCACTAGCCCTCTCCCCTTATGGAATACCAGCTCTTTCTGTCCTGAAATCTCATCTTTCCTGTTACTCATCTCACAATCTATCTGGTTGACAAATAATATTGGAGTGGGCATGTTACAAATTTGTTTCTGTATCACACTGTAAACAGCAGAACAGACTCCCCTCTTCCATGCACAGATGCAACTCTGCTGGGGCAGATCCTGCCCCATGTTGCAAACGCATAAACCAAATTAACACCATTAGTACCTTGGCATTATTTGAGATTTACATCAGGGTAAGACATGTGTTTGGCATAAAACAGACATGAAATAAAATGAATAAATAGTCAGAGACCAAAATAGCAGAGATCAGAACCCAGTATTCCCTCTCAGGATGCTCCCTCTTGCTTTCTCCCTTTCTGTCCCTGTCTTGGCTGCACCATAGGCCAGGATTCAATAGGAGAGGGGCAGAGCAAGCTCTTGGCCATGCTGGCTGCACAGCTCAGTGGTTACAGCACTCTGCTGGACAGAACCCAAGTCTCTCATGCCCCAGACAAGGTTTCTAAAATCTAGGCCCAGGCTGTCTAATTTCTGAGTGGCCTCAGGGCCATGTGCAGCACTGGTGCCTTCCTGCCATGCTGCTCTGCCCCAGAAACCCTGACTACTGCTGCAGCAAAGGTGGAAGTGGCATCCAGGCAGGGCCCATGGAACACCCATTAATCTTTCATGGGCTGGGTGAGGCCCACAGGCTGCCAGTTGGACAGCGCTGCATTAGGTGGCTGGAGGTGGAGGAGAGGGAAACTCCAGACTGAAATGAATGGAGTGCCATGTGCATTCTCTGGAGGCATCTAATGCTGCCCATTAAAATGAATGGGAGAGCCATGCGATTTCGCAGAGCAGAAAGTCTCCCTGTCTCCTTCTACCTGGTCACATTAGTTTGGAAACAACAGACTAAGTTAGAGATGCTGTAGCAGCTACATAGAATTTTGCCCTTGGAAATTCTCTATAACATTCAACTGATGTATTTACTGATGGATTTTCTCTTAGATTTCACTCCTGTAACTTGGCAGTCACGTGGTACTGCTCTCATAATGCAGGTGTATGGGGTCCTGTATTCACTATTTTGCGCTTCTCATCAGTTTTACCTTGTGCTTACACTTGCAACACCATACATCCAAGTTATGCAGGATCAAGTCAATAAATAGTGGTTTAGCACTCAGTTTGTAATCATGTAACTAGCTATAACTCACAGATAACCACATTCACCAAGGCTAGACTTCAGTCAGAATGTCATAGAAAAATCCTGTTTTACATCCCTTTCATAAACACCAGTGAAACTAATTTGTCAGCTGTTGGCATGTATGCTCAGTCTATTTTCCTCCCATGAAGGAGACCACTTCATGTGGTAGACACGTGTTGCTGAAGTCAGTCTAGGTCACTGGACTGAAGCTCTGCTTCAGCTTCCGCAATAAAATCTCATATTCAGTTTTAGTCAAGTAATGCACTAAGACGCCTTGACCACACATGCATGAGACAACTTTTACTGCACTCTTTTTCTGCCTGAAGAGAAACACTTCAAGGGAAGGAGAACAGAAGGAGAGAGAGTTATGGGCTAAGGTACAATAAAGTGAATAAACTGAACAGGACACCTGCAAGAATCTGTTGCTAGAGCAACAAAAAAGGAAAATGGAATTTACTCATCACAAAAAGTAGAGTGCAAGGGGTCTTCTCTGTGGCAGAAGAGATAGATACTGTAAGGAAGGACGTGTGCAATAGAAAATGGGTAGACCCACTATAGTAAGAGCTACTGATCCATGAGCATGACATCTCAAAAGGCAAGGTGGAAGATGTTTTAGCCACTCAGGAGGGCCAAAGGGCTCAGAGCACAGATGATTAAAAAACAAATGGCTAGGAGGGGGAAGATATTCCCAAATGGATGAGCACTTTCTATTTTTAAGTAGAAAGGCATTTAAATAGAACTCCTACATGAGTGAGATAAGAATCTTATCATCAGTCCCTGACACATTTAACACCAATGCTGAATTAGCTTCAGCAGTGTAATGATGCACTGATGTACGTGTTGTTCATTATTATTTTCAATGGTATGAGTAGCTTTAACACTCTTTTGCATGGTGTAACTGCCAGAGCAAGTCCTGATTTTTACACAAAAACCCAATACAAATGAGGGAGTGCCTGTCTTAGGGAATATTACCGTATCTGGTAGTTAAGGGGGCAATACTAATTCTTGGTCTGACTAGTGAGCACTTTGATGAAGGTGAATGAAGCACAGACCAGTTCTTCTTGGAAACCAATTCACTCCCCAAGTTCACTCTGCTGGGTTGGCAGTTTTACAGAGAAATTACACATGATACAGTATTGGAGACTGAATTATCTTCTGGATCCCCAAAGGGTACTCCCTCCTGGTGACATATCAGGTAGATTGCCAGGGGACTGTAGGGTAATTTGTGCTACTGCTGCATTTACTTGTTCTGGGGATCACTCCTCTGGGGCTGCTAATTCAGCACCTTTCACTACAGCAATATATTCACCCACACACCCTTTTTTACGTATTGATTGATTTTTAAAACTATGGCCAAATCTTGAAGCATTCCAAGAGGATGGCATACTCAAGTCCTTGCTCAATTCTTTTAGCAGTAACTTTTCCATGGGAAAGTTTGGAGAGAGTTTGGAGAAAGGGCTGAGTAAAAGCTGAGTAAGTTACTAGATTTCAGGTTAGCGGTGGTATTCTCCTATTCTAAAGCTTCACAGGGAAAAGATGAGCACACTGTGATGTGCTTATAAATAAGTTATGGTACATCATCCATGAATTAGCATATCAAGCTGCTACAAATTTGGTGGGGACCCCTTATGATCTGCTAGACCTCTTGCTATTAACTAATTTTAAAGCAGCACTGACCTTTAGACCTGAATTTTTGCGCATCCGAAGCCGGCCCATCCACATGTCTGTGAGCAGCATTTGGCTGCAAGTGTGAGCAATGAAATCTCGGTGCTTGGCTGCCACAGCAAGCTGCAGGCAGGTGGCATTGCTCCAGTTCTTCAGCTCATAGGTTAGCAGTTTCATTGCCAGTTGCTCATCCTGCTTGTATGATTGGTCCAACAGCTCTACTGCCAACTGGCCAAAATCCCTGAAACAGAGGGCGCTTTCATTAACCCGCAAAACCTTCTTGCACGGAAAGTACACTGTTCATTACAGATTTAGCAAGGGCTACCCCGTACTTCCACTGTCATGAAGCTGACTGCACACTGAGGCTCACAGTGGCTACAGTTTGGCATCCAAATAAGTTGCCTGATTTAGATTTTGTTGGACACCCTCAGCTCTCAGGTGCCTGCTCCCACCATCCTGCTCTCTTCCCCACCATTTTCTCCATGAAACCCACTGGGGGAGCAAACCAGCTCCCCAGTGCTTGCTCAGTACATCATGGTCAGCCCCCCTGGGAATGGGAGCCATTATCAACCCCTGTCTAATCACTGATTAAATTCCAGCTGCTCCTTGACTCATCGATTTTTCAGGCCAGAAGAATTATTATAATAATCTACTCAAACCCTTTGCTCCTCTATTTTGATCCCCTGATTAATTACATCCTGTGCTTCGAAATGTCTTTTTGTAGTTTTGAACAACTACCTTTAGGTAAGATGGGCAGAGTGACTCAAAGTAATCACAGTCTGATTTGAAAGACCTCTAGGAAGGTATAGAGGCCCATCGATAGTATGTGTACCTCTCTAATACCTGCCCATTTTAGAAGCTAAGATATTAGCAGTACAGTTGTCATGCACTCAGATTTCATACATGCTCTATAATGTAGATGCTCCCTACATTCACATTTGGCTTTGAATAGATTGTATTTCCCCCACAACTTTAAACTGCTTTTTGGCAGCACAAGCAACCTCTGACTTCCCAGAAAGCATTCTTGAAAAGAAGTCAACCTGGAATTGTGGTTCAGCTCCTGAGATATGTCATCCACCATGTCATTTTCTGATGCTTCATGGGCCATGGCTTTGCAGAGTTTACAGGCCACCAAAGCTTTAGCCATAGCCTCCTCCCCATGCTGCCAGAAGAAGAGGGCCATCTTTTGACGCTTCATCAGGACAGCCCACACCATCAACTCATGGAAGGGGAAAGGAAAATGGTTAATTTCAGGATCATCCAAATCAATATCCACTTCTTCCTCTCGTTTCTTAGTTGTCTTCCTTCCTCTTCGCAAAGGGACATCATCCTGTTAAACAAGTGGAAAAGATTGTTCCAAAAAGTGGACTGAATCTGTTTATACTGTATATAGGAGGAAACACATGAGAAAGCTAATTCCTTCACCCCTAGGCACATTTGTGCAACTTACTTTCTTTTCTCTGTTAATTAGGCTGATTCTAATTATTCACCAGGTTGTGATTTTCTATGAGAATTTCTGCTGCCTCCCACTCCTCTTCCCTATGCAAACTTACAAAATTAACATCACAATCTTGGAAAAACAATAACCAGCATAAATGTGCTTCATGTTAAATTATGGTTTTGCTCTCCAAGGCCTTGCTGAAAGGAAATAAAAGCCTAGAATCCAACTTCACCCTTTTTTGGGGCAGTGCAGAGTGCAATCACAAGATTCCAAATCAGTCCTAGGAAAACCACTCTTATCTTTAATTTCTTGTTTGCCCATTTACCTCTGATTTTTAACAACAATCTAATTGGGGCAGAGGCACTCATCTGTGATGGACTAAAGGTGTTATTGTGATATTGCTGTGTTAACTGTATTCACGTTATAATATTGTGTGACTCAGTTTACTTCTTTAGCATGTACACAAAGAATGGAAAATTAAGACCCAAGGCTGGCTATGTGCAGGATGAGAGGAGATGAACCTTTAGCATCAACACAGTCTTGAATGGATGTATTGCCCAAGACCCAGGAGGTGTCCAGGGGAGATAACCATGACAATGGAAGAGGCGGATGGAAAACATCAGTTTGGCAGCTTATGATCAGAAGAGTCTAGGGAGAAGTTTTGTGGACCTGAAGAGACTAGAAAAGGGAACAGCTGAGTATCTTTGGGGGTGCTCCTGGTTGTGTGGGCTGGGCTGGGGTTGGAGGGATTGCTTAACCCCTTTGGAGGGGATAGAGAGCCTCTGGCTGGCTGGCCTTTGCCCCAGTAAATGCCTTTAAGAGACTGTCTGCTGTGCTGCTTGGAACTGTGGCTTGCCCTTGATTGTTCCAAGAGAAGGTGAAATCCCTCTGTCGAGAGGGAAACTGGATGCTTGCTTCTTGAGTCTGGGCCATGAAGAACCAGGGAGGGTAAGGGACTGAAGGCTGGAGTGCCAGAGTGAGGAAGGAGCTTGGACTCTCCCCTTGCTCTATAAGCCAAGCCTGGGCTGGCGTCAAGGGGTACTTATACACTAGACAAGGTTGCAGCAGTCCTGAGCAAGTGCCCCCTGGGAGGGCACTTTATGGCATCACCTCTTTCCCCTTACAGAAAAAATCCAAGGAGGATTTGAAGGATGTTCCATTCAAAGATAGCTATTATTGGTTTGTCCCTTTCCCCTTTCTCTCTCATTCTTTGTGTTTCCCCTTCTGATCCTACGGTTGGTATAACTTACTGGTTCACCCACATTCTCCCTGTTTTTTCCTCTCATGCACCACTGTGTTCCTTTTGCCTCTTTCTAATCCTATGTTGCTGTTCTTCTTGCTCTTCCTGAGTGCCCATCCTGCTTATTCTTTCTGTTCCACTTTTTGACCTATTGCTTGTCTTGTCCTCTTCTTTCCCCTACTGTTCCAAGATTGTTTAACCTGAGTTCTGCTCCATTTTTGAGCAGCAAAGCAAAGCTCTACAGTACAGAGCTCCCTAAAAAGCCAGGTGAAGCACCGCAGAGCCTGAAGGATGTTGGATTATTGGAGACTAGATAAAACCCTGATAAGGAATTATACTAGTTTCTACCATTCCCTCTCCTCATCTTGCATTTCCCTGTCAAGATATTTTTACTATTTTATTTTAATATGTTTTTAAATTAAATATAATTAAAACATTGTTATCAAAGCAACAATTATAAACAATATAAAGCAATATAGTTTACCTCTAACAGAAACATTATGGCTGGGATTTTAAAAAGGCCTCTATGTTGTTCTAACTGTTCCCATTGTTGACAATGAGAGTATGGTTGGGTTGATACTTTTGAAATCCCACCCTAACTACCAAAATATTTTCTATTATTTTCTATTACTTTATTTTTATATTATTTAATATATTTGTATTATTTTAAAATTATATTATTTTTAAATACATTCAGTGGCCCAGTTATTCTATGATTAGGCAGCCACAAAATCTGCCACATGCTGATTTTGCTCTGGAGCACTGAATTATGCTCCAGAATTAAAGACTGCTTATACATGTGCTCAGAGGTGGTGGGTAGGGCATTGGGCGCTTTAATTAGAGGAGTTCCCAGAGAGCCCCTCTACTTAAAATGCTGCAGCATCTCATGCATTAAGCTTCTGCATGTTTAAAAATGGCAGCGAGACGCTTTAACTCAAGCTTAGTTGATAAGCTTTAATTAAAGTGCTCCCATGGCCATTTTGAAATGCTGGAGGGGGAGGGGGAACAGGACTTAATACACACGATGCTGCAATGATGTTAATTAGATTAGATTTTAGAGTGATTAATCGAGTCTGCTTTGACACATTCTAATTAGAATGCATCGGAGCATGTCTATAGGCAGCCAAAATCTTCATCTTTTAGCATACTGAAGAAATTCTTGAATGTGGGAGAAAAATGTGAGATGATGCAGTTGGCAAACAGCCTGCAACAACTGCTGAGAGAAGGGCGAACTGCACATGTGCAGCTAACTAAGGGTGTTCACTCTGAAATTTAACAACAATTTAATTGCTAAGGCCAGTCCTACTGCTTATGAGCCAGACGTGGATACCCTTGCTCACAGTGAATAGCCTCATACTTCTCAGGTGGTCCAGGGGAAGTAAACAAAGTGATCTGTGGAGTAGGACACTATTCACAAGGAACAAGAACATAAGAATTTGGCCCCATTTTAACAGAAGCATTTGACTTGTGGCTATCTCCTGCTTTTGGGTGCAATGGCAGGTAATGGGTCAGGGATCCTGGAATATCTAGCTGCTGGAGTGACAAACTAGCATTCTTCACACCCCTACATCCCCCAAAATTTCAAGTCACCCCTGACTTTTCATACTAAGAGGAAGGGAGTGGCAAGACCCTAAGACAAAGGTCAACATAAATTTTATGTGCATAAAGAATTCTGCATTATTTGCTTCACTTCCCAGAAAGCCTTTCAGTTTTTATGGTTACTGGCCTGGGATATTGGTTTCAAGTCACATGAACTGTTTAAATGCATATGTGTGCTTTTCATCAGAAAGTTCAGGTGACAGAAGGCTATCCTCTGTCCTTATTGCTCAGTATTGTTGATCAAGCATATTGAGAAACTGATTTTCTGTTTGCATTTAAATAAGCAATGTATCTTGATGAAAATTATGATTATTTGTGACTTATTTCTCATTCAGAGCTAATTTCTCATTTACTAGTATGGTTGCCAAAATGAAACTCAACTACAGTAAATGATGATAATCTGTTTGGTGAGAAATTAACCTAAATATTTGTTACAAGTCACCTACCTCCATTCCAAGCAGTTTCAGGGCCTTTGGCTGTACAAAAAAAAGTTAAGAAATAGCTTATATATGCTGCTCATAGGCATGGAAAAGGTCTAATGAAAAAGCCTAGAATATTATAAACAAAAATACATAGTCTTAATGTACCTTCTGCCAAACACCACCCCCTACCTTTCTCTTCAATATGGCATAAATTTATCCCTTAGCATAAGTTAGAATAATCTTAGGGATGTTTTAGGAACAGTTTCAGGGATAGTCTATTAAGGGGCAATCAAACCTGTTGAGGATTGCTGGAGTATATTAGCATTCAGGCTATACTCTTATCCCTAGCACAGCCCCATGTCAGAGGAAGCAATGCAGTGTCTCAGGGATTTTCTGCAGCTTTATGGCTCCTTTGAATTGCTGTGGTGATACAAAGGGCCCATCAATCTGACTCAAGGTTTACAAGGCCTCAGTTTATATAGCTTTTCCACTGAGTGGCTAAGGGAAGGGACCATTTCTCTGCAGAGAAAAGAACTGCTAGAAAAAAGCCCAGAATAACAGAAATGTCTTGTCCAGGGTGGAACTGGCAAAACCAGCCAACAAACCCAACAGTCCTCCAGTTTCTCTTTTGATGTAAACATTTCACAGAAGTTGGTGTATGGTATGGCAAACATCTAAGACTGCTGAAGTCATATTCATGTGCATCACCTGGACATATGTGGATATGAACCCAGACATGAAATGAGTGTGACAGCTAGAGAGTAAGCTAAGAGAAATAAATACAAGTAACAAAGGATCAAGATCTGTTCTAAATTACACATCTGTGAATCTGAAGCAATTTCTTTGGGAACAAGAATAAGCAGCTGTTTGCTCTATGAAGACAGTAAAATTACTCCAGATCCAACCCTGGGTAACACAGTAAAGACCTAGGCTTCAAAGCATACAAAAGTGTGTCACTGTCCTGTACCTATTGTCTTAACAATAAGAGAAGTTTCAAGCCCACCAAAGCCAAGGTATAGATATATTTTATTGTTGTTATAATTCCTTTATGCAGTCCCAAGATGATGAACACACAGAAAGAGAATTTAGGCTAAGTACAGACAGTCAACAAGCCTAAGGCAGAACTGATCCAATCTACGCAGGTTTCTCTACGCTGCGTTGATTGGGCTGTTAGCGAATGGACTCGCGTTTGCTCTGTGGTTGGGGTGCTCCTGCCTCCCAGCATGTCAGACATTGCCGATGGCAGCTAAATGCTGATGAATGGCTGTCTCATCCCTGACTGGCTGTCAGACACATGCCTCCCCTTGCTGCCCTCTCACCTGGCAGGCAGCTATAGGCAGACAGTGGAGGGAGGCACGCTTGCTCCGCTCAGCAGCATGGGGGTCCTTGGGCTTTGGTCAGGACACCCCAGCCAGGATAGAAGTGGGGGAGGAGTGTGGGTTTGGTGAGCTACTGGGGGAGGTAGTGCCAGTGGCACACCCCGTGTTCCCAGCCAGTGGGGCATAGTGTCCCTGCTGTGTCCAGGACCCTGGGACCCTGTGTTGCAGCAGGAATTTGGCACTGGCTCCACAGGGAAAATCCTCTAAGTCCTTTGTGAAGCCACTGCAACACAGGGTCCAGAGTGTCCCTGCTGTATCCTGAACTCCAGGACCCAGTTCTACAAGGAGTCTGGGAGGGGCATGCAGGATTTCTTCCCCCGCTTGAGCCAGTGCCAAATTACTGGATGAAACCACCTCTCTGGGACAGCCATGACCCCACAGCTGCGGAGAAGTGGCCTCAGCCAGGAATTTGCCACTGGCTGCGGGTGATCTGTACCCCCCTTGACTTGGGCCAGGAATTTGGGGTGTGCTGCTGACACTGCCTTCCCACAGTGGCTCAGGAGCATCACTGTCCACCCCACCTCTGTCCTACTTGCTGCTGTCAGACAGGGAGCTTGGAGACGGGGTAGCCAAGGCACAGCACCCTGTGAGGGAGGGTTAGGAGGTTCTGCAAAGTCCCCTGGGATATGGGTAGATAGTGACCTACCTTGATTCATGAATGGACCCCGCACTGACGTTTGATAGCCCAGTCCAACCTAGTTTGAGTAAATCTGATACTACATGGATCCAGATCTATCTTAGACTAGGATCTGCCATTTTGAAACCAGTCTATGTGCCCTGAACTTATGTTTTGTTACAGGTATACACCTGTTTCTGACCACCTAAACTGAAAAAAATGCAATGTTTGCACCAAGCCATAGTTCCTTCAAAAGGCTTTGCATGTATATATTCATACATAGAGCTTCTAAGGCCAGAAGGGGTGATTTTATGATCCAAGTCTAACCTTGACAGGCATCAGGACCTCACCCAATAATTCTGCATCAAGTCCATGAAAAACAGGGTCAGTGGCTGACTGTCAGTAGATCACAGAAAGGCAATTGCTTATTACATACAAAACCCTGACCATAGTGGACAACCAGTAGAGAGAAATGTTGCTTTTCTAAAATTTAGAAACAGCTAGGAAACAATCAATATTTATTCCCTTGCTTTCCTGACTTGCAGTGTCTTTATTACTTGACAGCAGAGTTACAGGATCACTCCTTACCCTCTTGGGGCCAAACAAGTTGTGGTAGAGGGTTCTGAATCGTTTTCGGGTGTAGTTGCAGCGATAAGCCCCTCCCATCAGATATTCAATCACTAGTCCAATATCAATCAAACTTATTCTATAATCTGGAGGTAGATTTCCCTATCAAATGAAAGAAAAAAGAAAAACAGACAAAAGATAAAGCTGATTATTAAGGACACGATTCAGCATTATAACTATCTACATTAGAGTAAAACAACTGAAATAGTTAAGTAACAGGAATGTATTATTATGCTGGTTAATCAATTCACCTTAAAATAGATCCAACCGAAACCTGGATATTCTCGCTTGGAAAGAAGACATAAATTAAATAAGAAGGTGCGGAAGTTGTTGTTGGTAACAGAAGATAATAGCGTCAGAAAACAGTATTCAAATTCTTCAGCTGGGGGAAACAAGAAACACCACTGCAGAACAAAAAAGCATGAGGACCAGGCATTTTCCAAAAGGTCAAGCACACTTGTTGAACTCTAGTCTCTCTGGGTAGTGAGGCTGCTGTACCATCTGCCCACAATATCTCTCCTCCTGAATATGTTTATACTAGGTTTCGTTTGAGCTGCCATGTCTGCCTACCTTTGTCAGCCATTTGTGAAGGCAGCTCTATACCATTTGCACTCAAACTAACAGCTCCTTAGCTGTGATTCCACTTCTTCCAGAGAGTATGTCTTCATGACAGTAGTGCACTTATCAAATATAAGGAAGGGGGGGGGAAGGTCAATTAACAAGATATTCACTCTATTGGATTTAACATTTGCACGAGCTGCATTTCTTTCAAAAAAAATTGCCAGAGTCAAGGAAACCTGTAATCATATGCTTTGTAAACCAGATTAAATTGACTCACAAGTTGCTTCTCTTTGCTAAACATGCTATCCATGGGACAGGGCACCTTAAAAAGCTGTAATGATCATCAAGTGGTTCTCATTCTTATCCAGTTCTCTGTTGTATTTTGATTTTTATCAGCAAATCTACAAACCCAGTGATTTTTTTCAGATACTGCCCTCTTGTGGACCCAGTATATTCCATTGTACAATCCTTGAATCAATGTTTTCAGCACAAGAATCTTAAAGCCAATGGGAACTACACTGCTTTTTTCCTATATATTGCTTTGAAAAATGAGCCCTTGGAGTGATGGAGTCACCTCTGTGACAAAAAAACCCTTTTGTCCTGAAAAGCCACTTCCAATTCTTTGCTGCCCTATTTTGGATCTGTTCTAGTACTGGCATAAACTTGGATTAACTTTCAAAGCTTAAGACTGAGGAAGCACACATGCAGCCCCGTGCACTTTGAGTATGCCTGAACTTTGCATTTTTATGCTGAGTGCATGTAAGAGCATGTTGCTTTTGCCCTTTGTGTGTTTGGATCTGAAGTTTTGGCAATGCTTTACAGAAGTGAAGGGCTTTGCCATAGTTTCCCTGGGAAAACTATTCTTTCCCATTTGCATTTCTGAGCGCCACCCATGTGGTAGTTGCATTTCAGCAGCAATTACAAAGCTATAAATAATTTGGGATTTTTTGTGGGGTGTGGGGAATGAAAGGAACAACTCAAAGTTAAATTGTTATTGCTTTTCTGGGCTCCCTTCCTGATCTCCTCCTTCCTATAAACTTCCCTACCTACCCACATGCAGTACTTCAAGGACAATGAAAATAGAACAGGTTCCAAAAGGAGAGGCTAGTAGCTTTCCCTTGTAAATATCTGGATTTGTAGGATTCCCCAAAATCAGTCTATTTTAAGGTCATCACTACAGTATCTGAACACTTTCCAGGCAATTTCATAGAGTTTCTCAATTTTGGAGATAGGAGTTAAAAAGTGCACTCCTTGGGTAGATTTTTTTTTTTTGGTGGGGTGGGGGGCAGGGAGGGAGAGAGGCAGGGAATGAGGGCTAAGGAAACACTGTAAAGATACTACACTGCTATTCTATATTCTTGGCTTTATATTAACAATGACCAATTCTGCAGAGCAAAAAAAAATGAAACAGGGCGCATCTACAAGTGCACTTTACTTCAGCTGACTAATTAGTTCTGTAGGAAATCATCACCATCTACATGTGCACTAGGGTTGTGTGAAGCTTCGGTCCCCGATTCGATTCAGCAGAGATTCAGCCTGATTTGGTGGCCGAATCTCTGAATCCAAATTGAATCAGAGGACCCTTTAATCTCTCCAAATTAAATAGGAACCCTCTGGATCGATTTGGAGATTCGGAAAGATTCGGAGATTCGGACATAAAGACAGCTTTAGATGTTTTTTCTACATACCTCTAGGTAGCAGGGGCTCGTGAACACTGCGATATTGGGGTGCATGGAGTGTCCTGCTGAAGCATGGAGGGACTCCCTAGCATGCTCGGCAGCAGACCTGGAAGTGGATCCAGCACACTCCAGCACCTCCCTGGCTTGGTGACTGGTGCCTCCTGGGTCTGGGGGGGTACCCAGGGTCCCCCTGCAGCTGATCGCTGAGCTGGGGAGGTGCAGGGAAGGGCCCCCAGTGTGCTCCCCAGCAGACCCAGAAGTGGACCAGAACTACTTCCGGTCCACTTCTGGGTTTGCCACTGAGCATGTGGAGGGCCCCTCTGCACTCCTGTGGGACACTCCATGTGAATGTGGGACGCTCCATGAATCTGTGTCTATGTCCGAATCGCTGATTCTCTGAATCAGCATCGAATCTTCAGATTCAGCCGAATCGAATCACTGTCCTTGATTTCGGGCCGAATCTGAATCTGAATCGAATAGGGCCTGTTTTGCACATCCCTAATGTGCACCCATATTAGGGAGCAGTAAATTAATTAACTGTGTCATAAGATAGTACTGTTGGGGACAGTACTGTATAATGGTAGAATACTTACATACACTGAAACACAAGTGTAGACAGCTGTAGGACCTACTGAAAGAAAGTTTGCTGCATGGTGGCAACTCTAATCTTACAGTTTCCCCTGCATGCCCACCCTCCACCTCTGACTGGTGGAGAGGCCCTGTCACTCACTGCTGGGAGGTGAAAACAACCTTTTTAAATGTGGTGTGGTTTTTGCCTCCTGGCTGGTCAGCAGCAAGCAGCACGAGGCAAAAACCATGCCATATTTAAAACTGTGGTTTTCACCTCTTGGCCATCAGGAGTGAGCAGTGGGGCCCCTGTGCCAATCAGTGGTGGGGGGAGAGGGGGAGTGCACAGGGGAAACTGCAAGATTAAAGGAGCCACCATGCAGTGAACTTCCAGTGAACTGACAAGGGTTGGCTGGGGCACAAGGGTGTTACAGTATGGATGGGGACGGCCTGCTGCCTAGCCCTGCACTGCCCCAGCCAGCTCCTCTGCTGCCTGATGCTGCCACCCAGAGCTGACCCCCTCCAGACTCCCCTGCCAGTCCAGGGCTGCTCTGCCCCAGCATCTACACATGTGGCCCTGGACACATGTGTAGATGCTGTGCCTAGGAGCAGCTGACTCCACTGGAGTTTATTGCTTTGAATTAGTTGCACATGTAGATGCAACCACAGTGCTTTACCCACAGAGCTCCAGAGTCAAGGATAAACAGTACCACCTCCAGTTATAGTTAGTGGCACCACCTTAGCTGGCAGGCAGCTGAAGAGTGCGGGCAGGTCTGGGCTACCTGTACTATCTTGTCAAAGAGCAAACAGACACCTGTCATGATAAAGCAGCACTATTTTACGCTACCTGTTGTCACAGCACAACAAAAGGCAAAGGTGTCTATTTGCTCACTATTTGTGCTGCCATAAAAAAAAAATTATGGTGCCACAAATGCTGTGTCAAGCACTGTTTGTTTTTACCCTGAGAGAAGCCACAGCACAGTCCTTTGGTATCCCAGCACGCTTGGTTCCCAGATCCTCCCACAGGGAGACAGTGCATAACTCAGGCTGGACTTTACTGCTCCAGCCAAGCAGGGTGCCCTTTACAATCCCCGCATTGTGCCGCAGAGAGAGACAGACTGGAAGGCAATCTGGGTCAGCCAATTAGGGCCACCCTGTATACTGCTGTCATCTATTGACAGGCAGACTGCGGAGCCTGTAGAGCATGCTGAGATGTGTGCAGTGGGCTGGCACTCAAACGTTTGTTCAGGTATGTTTTTCTACAAGGAAAACAAACCCAAGGGATTTCTCTCAGGTTGCTTGAACATTTGTACATAGCCAGTATTGAATCCTAATCAAAGAAACCCTGTGATGTAAGGCCAATTGAGAACCTTCTACTGAGAGAACTAGAACATTTCTTTGCCCCTGCCTTCTGTAACATAAACATTAGGCAACTCTTCACATGTGTGCATTTTAATTGAGAAATCCAAAAGAAAGCACTCAACTGCACTCAAGGCAGAGAAGTGTCAGGGCAAATGTTGACAGTCACTTTGTTCAATGCGCTATAGAAGGTGTTCAGACACTGTCACAATGAATATGGTAACCATGCATACAGAATAAGCCAGAAGATAACAAAACAGTAGCCTCAAGGAAGGCAGGTCTATGCACTATACACTTTATCCCATCATCAAATCTCATAGGGAGTTGATCTCAAAGATCTCCTATTGAACAGTTCCTTTGGGATCCAAAGATGGAAAGCCAACACTGCAAAGATGGTACACGTATTCTTATCCAGCCTTCTCTATAGAAGAGAAAGCTTTGTATCGATCACAAAGTGGAATGGGCAGCCCAGGGCTAAGGTCATACAGACCTGTTCAATAATTCACAAACAGAAAAAGAGGCCTATTTCATAAAAGTGCCATTCTGAATAACTTGCCCAGATCTAATTATCTCATTGTACTGTGTCATACTGTTTGGCACATGATAATTCTAGATCAATTAATGATAGACACAGCCTAAGAAGTCAATTAGTGAAGATAAAAAAAACTGTAGTAAAATCATAATTTTTACTGTAAAGCTACACTTTTCCCCTTAGAACCTATTTAATGTCCTTTATTAAAACTATCACATTTGCTATAGTGTTATACAGCACAGACTGCAATAAAGCTGAAGTTACTTTAATATTGTCATTGCATGAGGATTACTAATTCACTGATTATTTTTTATGAATGTTACCTCTTTTTCTCATTGGGAATAGTTTGCAGACAGAGACCTATAGAGGTTTTGCACATCTGCCTGACTTTGCTGCAGATGTGT